ATTTTATAAATCATTTACAGTCTTCTTTATTTATTAAGAATAGTTATGTAAGCTCTTTGTAATTTTTCAAATTTTCTACACTAAAAAGTTGTATTGTAGAACGACTAAACTTGACAAAGGATGATGGAAAATCGTCCCATAATACATCTTGCTCTAAAACTTTCGAAACACCAACTACCAAAATCAGAGTAAATAGTTTAATAGCCTTACTCATAAAAAATAAAGTAGCTCTAAAGGTTTGTAAATTGAAAAATTTGTGAAAATTTCAATTTATAAAGCTCTTTAAAACCAAATACTTTATTTTTTATGAATAAAGCTGTAAATATTTTAGTACTCTAATTTTACTTAACTTTCTGCTTATTGAGATACATGGCGTATGAGCGACTTTTTACAATGAAATCGTGTTTTCTGCCCTTGTTTCACAAATGAAAAATTGGAAAATATAGTAACGAAAGTTGACTTATTTAAGAAAATAGCTTGTGACTTTAAAAAAAAAAATTTTTTGAACCTCTCAAGAAAAACAATAAATTCATATAAAGTAAGAAATGGAAAAAACAATAAATTCATATAAAGTAAGAAATGGAAAAAGTGTCTTCAATTGAAATTTCCTAAATCTGTATGTAAATCTCAAGGAAAAAATACTGGTATAATTATTAATAGAAACAATTTGGGTTGGTAAAAGTAATTTTTTTTCCTTTTGGTAGATTTTTGTATAAGTATTTTGTTTGAAAAGCAAATAAAACTTCACGCTTATGTCACGCTTTATGTTTCGTAATTATACTTATATTATAAATTTCTTTCCATAAGTGTGGCCTACTTTATTGCATTAAATTTCGAACGTGTGTATGCATATCGATATCTGGCTACATACAAAACTCATTTTACTGGAATCCTGAGGAGCTTTGGATTGCCTAAATATTTTCAATCAGTCTTCAAATAAAAAGGAAAAAATGGGCAGGTATGTATGTAATTGCACACTATAATTGTTCGCAAAAAAATTAAAAAATCAACGCCAGTTTTATAAATGGCAATTGTTAAATGAAAAAGAAAAATACAAAATACCGGCGAAAAAAAAAATATTCTTTTAATCAGCGGGAATTTTTAGCTGCATATTGTTCGTTATACTAAAATTAAATTAGCTATAAAGCCAAAGAAAAAATTTCGAAATTTTGGTGAATATTAAATTTTTCTAAATGGTGTATATAGCTTGAATCCTTGATTATTTTTATGGGTTTAGTTAGAGCGCAAACAAAATTCTCATACCAAAAAAAAGCAAAAAAATTTTTACTTCAAAAACATTTTGAATATTAAATAAATTATCAAGCTTTTTTTGAGTCACTTTATTTGTCTATAATAACTCCAGTTGAAGTTTCGTTGTTGCCTTTTGTTTCATCATTTTCGCTTTTGTTTGTTGAGTAAAAAACAAATCTATAGTTTTTATTAAAATAACTATAAAAAAAGTTATTGGTAGATATTTTCCAGATTTAGCAGGTGTTTTCAGGAAAATGGTAAGCATTTTTTCTCGTCAGTGGCAACCCTGGATGTCATCAGACTCGCCGAAACGTATAATAATTTATGTTTCCAATGTTTAGTAATTATAGAGTCAGCGACTCGAAAACCGCCTAGATAGAAAATCTCATGAAAATCAAGCAAATATATCTGCCATTTTGAATATTTAAAAACTGATTATTGCTTCGTAGTCAGCGACCCAAAAGCTCCCTATATACTAAGTCCCACGAAAATCAAACAATTCCCAAAAAATATTAAAACCCATCTAGAATTTCTGCCAGAGTCTGGCTCCGTTTGACGTGGAACGTCCCATATACAAATGTATATGTATTTAAATTATTACCAAATCATGATCATCGTTGTGGCTACAATGATAAAAAAAAATCAAATTAATATTCCCTCTTTACAACACAATTTCAACGTAATTCGAAAACTTCCACTTGTCTATTAATCAACGGGCTGACAGGCAAATCTCAGAGAATACTTAATAGTCAAATTTGCAAATTTATTTGTGGTGTTGCATTAGCAAGTAGTATGTACTATGAATAAGATGAGTCAAATGAACAAAAATCAAATATTTACATATTAGATCAGCTAAATATTATTACTTTAGCTGCTAACTAGTAACTTCCAAACGATAAATGCGCATTCAACAAAAACTTATGAAAAGTCAATGAGCTTAAAACAAGTACATACATAAGTGCTGTAAAAAGCGCCGACTTCATATTGAATTTGTGTTTATACATATGTACATACATATTTTCAAAAACCACAAGAATTCCGCTGGCAGTGTTAGAATTGGCGACCACTGCAATAAAACTACTGCTATTTTTGGCAACCAACAACTAAAATTGCAATGCATACAAAACTAATTTGACCTTTTCGGAAATAAAGAATGCGAAAAATGAAATGATTAAAGCCTTGCAAGCTGTGTTGTACGCACTTGACGTTTACATGACAAAGAGTGTTAGAATTCTTCAAGTTGCAGCGAAAGCGTAACTAACACACATAGCTTGTACCTATGAGTAGATATCATTGGAGTTAAAAACCTGAATGCATGACATTGCCTATTGTTAATTTAATTTAATTTAATTTGTTTTTTTTTTGTTATACACTTATTGAAATCTTACATACATGAAACATAGATAGTGCATTTTGTTATGTGCATATCACATGCCAGAAGCGGCAATGCCTCAAAACGTACTTTTTTTTGACTGAATCATTTGCGTAAATCTTTGGATAATTTACCAGCTTTCGGTTTACACACATGAGCAGCATGTGCGAATTTACCTTGATTTCTTTGTTTACAAATATATTTTTGTACGCATGTACGAGCGAAATCGTTCACGTACGTACGTGCATACATACTGATATACATATGTAACTGATGTATATTGGCTGATAATGCTAATGCTATGTTATGCAGTCAAGTGCCACAATTCGTTAGCCGTAATACAATTAACCGCTTAACTTAATTCAAGATTTATTTTTGGACAATGACGCTTTAATTTGTTCAGTTTCCTTAGCGGCTAATTTTGCACTTTTTTGTTTGCTTCGTTTTTGGGTAAAGTTATTTTCGGTATGTTTGTCAGCCGCCTTTGAGTGTCCAATTCGTTAAAGTTAATTAACACTAGGAGTCTTTTTTTTGCACAAATTGTGTATAAATGTTATTTGAAACCAATGAATCTTGTTAGCAATGACAGATATTAGTGCTAAGCTTATAGATTTTTAATTTATATAATTTTGATTTACATATATAATTTTTATTGTAAGCATATTATTTTAAAAAGCAATATGATTTGATACATATGTATTATGTATGTACTAAAATTGAATGGGCTGCAAAACTGCATACCAAAAATTTTTCTTAAAAATTCTGAATAAAAAGTTTAAAAATTTGGTGCCAAGTGGTCGAATTTTTATAATTTTTATGCTTCTCCTCCGATCTGTGGCGTGCGCCTTGATGTTATCACACAAAGGACAGGGACCCATAGTTTCACGCCGCACTATGGTACAGCAGCGCCCAAACCGTATCTAAAATGCTTTTTGCAAAACTGCGATTTTGCTGATATTTTTCAGAGACATAAATACGTAGTAGAATGCTTAAAGTAATTAGTACTCCAAAAAATGTTCATATATTTCTTTTATCTATACATATAATAAAAATGTAACAGACCGATGTGTATACATTATAGATATTAAAGAAAAATTAATAGAGCAATTGAAGCCAAATTAACATCACTAGAAAACTAATGCAGTTTTCACCGATGTATTGCTAGAGGTCTAACTTAAAATATAGTAAAAAGGAAAATTAGAGAGTTGCCACCTGTTTGAAAATTGCAGTTTATGTAAATTGAAAAGATAAATGATATATTGCAATATGTCTGTCAAAAGAAAGATATTTAAGAAGGCTTACAGCCGGAAATATTTTTGTGGGGTTGCCACATGTTTGAAAGTTTTAATTTAATTTAATTGATAAGGTAAATTAAATATTGCAATGTGGGTATCAAACTGAAGAGGTTTTTGAAAAGTTAACTTCCGAAAATATTTGAGAGGAGGGTTGACATCTGTTTGAAAATTTACATTTAATTAAATTGAGAAAATAAATGAAATATTACAATACGGGTATCAAACAACACAAAAAATATTTTTAAAGCGCTGTGAAACACGCCGGATATTAGCTAGTTAATAATAAAATTGTATGGTTTTTACTAAAATTTAATGG